AGAATTAATTCAAAACTAATGTATTTTATAAGTATAATTGCTTCAATCTTAATTTTAGGCTGATATAAAGCAATTTGTGATATTTTCAATCGATTTGGCTCAATTTGAAGTTGGGAATCAACCTGAATCAAAGTATTTCAACCAAACACTGACTTAAATAAGAGTTTTCTTCCAAAATAAAGCAATTTGAGCTATTTTCAATACAATTTTGCTCGATTTTACTACAGAATTAAATCAAAATTTATGTTTTTTATTAAAATAATTGCTTCTAATTCTAATTTTAGGCTGAAACAAAGCAATTTGAGCTATTTCCAATTCAATTTTGCTCGATTTTAATACATAATTAATTCAAAACTAATGTATTTTATTAGTATAATTGCTTCAATCTTAATTTTAGGCTGAAATAAAGCAATCTGTGAAATTTTTAATCGATTTGGCTCAATTTTAAGTTGGGAATCAACCTAAATCAAAATATTTCAACCAAATACTGGCTCTAATAAGAGTTTTCTTCTAAAATAAAGCAGTTTGAGCTATTTTCAATCCAATAAGTGCATAAAACGACATTGGGTCAAGTTTCAAAAATTTTGAGTTTTTGAAGATGAGCGGTAGTAAAATCGTAAAAATAGTCAATTTACCTTAAGTCGTAAAAACGGTTGAAATATGGTTTTCTAGATGTAAAATTACTCGCTGAACACGATTCAACTTGTTAGAATACTCTACGATGCATAGTTTTTGAGATATTGAGTAATAAAGTTAAAAATAAGGCTAAATTTATAAGCACTATAAAAAACGTTATATGGATGAATTATAAGGTTAAAAATTTTTTTGATTTTCGTCGAGATTTTGGTCGATGTTTGGCACCCGGAGCGGTCTATTGCCAATAACTCCGGACTTATTGGTAATAACCTCTTATGTTTGGTACCGTTGGAGAGCAAATTTAATTTTCTATCATATAAAATCAGTGTTCTACGATAAATAGTTATCGAAAAAATTTGTGATAAAGTCAAAAGTATGGATAATATAAATCCGACCATAACTTCAAAACTATTAGGAATTTTGCATTTTTTTTACTCCAATCGATTCCCCGGAACATTTTACATAGGTATAGGTCAAAATATTATATCATTGAGACTCAGTTTTGCCGCAATTTACAAAACAAAAAAAACAAAAAATTTGTTAAATCTCTCTATCTGAAAAAGGGTTCTTTAAAAATAAAATTTTAACTATCTTAACCTCACTTTTTTAGTGACAAATTTAGTTTCTTAATTTGTAAAGCCTTTTTCACATTTAAAGCGCGGTTTACACAATCATAGCCTACTGTTATGCCAATTTCAATGAAATGGATTTTAATGCGTTTTCCCCATTTGGATAGTTTATAACCTGCCACCAGAGGTCAGCTACTTTGCTGAATATTGAATTTGATTGGTTGGACACCAGGGGTATTTAACTTTTATGACGTATTTCGTCGAAACAAATTTAGTACCCGCAGCAACTCACAGATATCGCATGAACGTTAGTCGCGTTTCGAAATAGAGCGGCAAAATATGACAGTTGAAGTTGACAGATAGTAAAAAATTGAAGTCCCCAGGTATGCATGAATTGAAGATTCTCTATCGCCATTTTGTTTTTACTTTACTTTGTGGTGTGTCCTCGATTTGCGTTGTGTTTCGTTTTGTGTCGCTTCCAACTCGTTTTGTGTGCGTGTATATTTTTCTGAACGTTTTTATTGTGAGATGAATATAAAATTTAGTGTTTAGATACGTATAAATTGTAAACACAAGGAACAAAGGTGCAATGTGTTTGATTTCAGGGGTTTGAACAATTTTTAGTGTTTAAGTTTAGGTATTAGTGTTTTGTTGATACATTGAGTTATAAGAGGTAAGAAAATGCCTAATGTATAAGCGACATTCTAAGATTTTGTTAACAGGACGTGATGAGTTTGAGCCGAAATCCCTCTTCTGTGCCAGGGTGCCACAATAGAGAAAGGCCTTTTTTCCACTTTCCAAACCCCGAAGAGGCCAGGGCATGTCTCGGAAGTGGAAATATGCCGCGAATACCCAAATTTTAAGGACCATTTTTACAAGCATCTGCACAGAATTGGGTAAACATGTGTTAATATTTATCAATTTATTGACAGTACAAGTGTAGCACCGATTTACAGAGAGCTAAGTAAAATTTAGTTGAAAAATGCATTAAGTTGTCATTTGCTTTGCATTTCCACACGTCATTTACAAAMAACAAGGGKATGCTTTACTTACTTAAACCTGTTTCAGTTTTGTTTGCCACAAACATTTTAAGATGGGAGGATTTTAAAGAGGGTACGCATCGAGTAAAACRTACAGCGGTARCATCTGTAAACCTGACAACAAGTGAGATTCTTAAGTTTGTGTTATGATGTTTTATTTAAATTTGTTTGCATTAGGTACGGAAGACGGAGGTGCGTCAACGTGTGGTAATTATAAATTATATCTAAGCAGTAATATTATTGTAAAATTATGRTATTAAAGGTAACAGGATATCTCTCATTGAAACGGAACCTACCACTCCCACGAAGYTGACCATTACTCCAGCATTTGTGACTCCCCCAAAGGAAGCTTGTGTTGTGTGGGAGCAGACAACACTTCAATCAAATTATTGCAAATCAGAAACAGACTTATATCATGGGTCACTGGTTTAATGACTTCACATTTATTAGTTTTTACGAAGCTCACAGTTATGGGCTATACGTTCTTTTAACACGTTTTTGCAACACTAATAGCTTATACTGTTTCTATGGTGCATTTAAGCTTACCTCTTATGTTGCCGTTAAAATAAGCTTCATCTATAAAGTACGTCGRCTATAMCAATGTATCTTAAGAGTATAAAAAACGCTTATGCATACTTTTTGTCAATTTTGACAATTTCTGATTCAATATTAGTGTTGCAAAACATCTTGAAGACAGAGTTTTATAGTTTAAAAATCTCAGCCTATTAAATTAGAGCGACCGGAGGGAGCGAGAATTTAAAGTACGACCTCGGTTTTTAAACTGTCTTTAAAACTCTAGTTGTCTTAATAGCTATTGATTATTCGTTGCGCTAGTATTCATTATTTATTCCAATTTCATTTGCCTATAGCCTGTTACTCTCTTTTTTTAATATATTTTTACACATTTTCAGACTGTTATGGAACGACCTGGTCATAGTTACAATACTTTTTTTATACTGTTCTCAGTAAAGAAAGTACAATGTTTTTGATGTGGATATAATGTAAATTCATATTACATATCAGTTAAAAATGTTTTTACTTATATGTAGAAATAATTTTTTGTTAATACAGGTACTTTTTACTCATCAAGGATGAATAAACACATAATGACTTACTAGGTATTACTTCATAGTTGTGATAAGCAATGTCAAATACAATTTAAGGCCACAAAGTGGCAACGTAGTAGTGGTAATTGATTTACTTCCATTTTTAAATTGTCTTCTATAAACTAGTCCCTAACCATGTAAACAATATACAAAACAACAATGTACACAAAGTGATCCACAATGAATGAATCTTTTGGCAATCCTAACTCTAATTTTTAAAGGTTACCATTGGAGTACGCTTTTCATTAACTACAATTCAACAAGTACCTTAAGTTATTGTCAAGCAAAATCGTATCCGATTACAGTGCTTCCATTTATTAACAAAAATATTTTCACATCTGTTACCAACAGACACAATCTTTCTGGATCACTTCCTACTTTATTGTGTCATTAGATATTTGTASATTCTTAATGTTATAGAAGKGTCATAAACAATTTATTTCATGTTGTAACTACCTGTGCTATTGCAGACAAACAAAAGGCTGTCAAAATTTTCACACTTCATTGTATAGTAGGCTTTAACGTGTGAACTTTCACTCTTCACGTGTAAATGGCAGGAACATCACTGACAACTACATCATTCAACTTGAGGTTATTTTATACTACATTATTTTTTTGTCCAGAATGGTGCAACWAATTCTWTTTATTTTTTATTGTCTACTGCAACGTAAAATTACTTTATATTTATSTATAACACATATTGTGCTGGATTAATATTTATATTTATAGTGATTAATATTTAGGTTTATTAGTGATAATACATTTTTCTTACAAGTTAATTGTCTTTTATTCATATATTTTTCGAATTCTTTGTAAACATTCACAAATAATAGTTATTTGACAAGATGGAATGTTGTTAGAAACTATTATTGTGAATATTTGCAAAGAATACGAACAATGGTATTTAAATTTAAACGAAAAATAAATGTYACTCTGTTCAAATCGCCCGCGCTTACTATTAGTACAGGCAGCTGTTGTAAGATGGGGTATCTGCAACTCTCGACCGAGGAAGATAAAGAGAGAAATGTTTCTGTTTATCTCTGTTGTTCTGTGGTTGGACACATTTGTCAATGTTGTTTGATTATAATAATCTCAACAATAATAATTATTAGCGATTAATTGAAGTGTTTATTTTAGTCAATATAGAAGTGAATTATTACTTAATTTCTCATAAAAAGAGAAAAAAAATAGTTACAACTTAGGCGTACAGTTTGACATCTCAACAACATAACCTCAAAGAATCATGATATGTCAAAGACAGCACATTAACTTATTTCAGATGTCATGAATCTCACCCTATCGGACAGTTTAGTGGGGCGACAGAGGAGTCGACAATGGACCCCTTTAGTAACACAACAGGTAATCCACTCCTAAATCGCACCAAACAACCTCTAATCCCCGTACTTAATTATAGTGCCGTCTGCGTCACGTCCACCAAATAATCGGCTTGAATTTCCCCCCTTTACCGAAAAAAGGCAGTTACTACTTTACTCTCCACTTGACTACGATGAGTTCCCCATTCTACACCAGCGACAAGATTGGAAACACCAACCCCAAATGGCCCGAATTGGATCAACGCAATTTGACGAATTTGGCCACAACCGGTATTTCCCCCAAATCGCACAACAACAACAACAACTAATTTTGTTAATTCCAGCGTTGGTTTTGCGAGTGTGGCGCCACATTGGTGATCCCCCAGATACGATAGTTACCACTTGGGGAGTAAACCTATCAGGACTCATCTACTTAGGAAGTAAATTAGCTGAAATCCAGCCGGCTTTCTTTCACCCCAAAACTGTGATATTTTATATAAGGGGCGGGTTTTTTACGAGTAGGCATGCGGTGAATGACGAGGACCACAAAAAGCCTCCTTTTTTAAACAATATTAATATCATTGATGTGGGGGGAAACAAACAGATTTTTAAGAAAACGGCTGTACAAACGGCAAAAAGTGAGGTTAGGAGTAGTTACAATATTAATAAGTTGAGGAAATTGCACAGTTTACAAGTCACTATTAAAAATAAAGGTCTAGATGTGCAAGTCGTTAGGGAGAAAATTGAAGTCAAGTGTGGTACAAACAGCACAGAAACAAATTTCCCAGAAAGTACCCAAATTTCTAGTCCTAATAATATTAGATATGCACCGCAGTTGCTTACTATGAAGTCGGTCAATAAAATGCTGGAGGTAAGGCACAACCTAATTTAATCAATTTCTATTACTAAAACACTGATTTAAAAAAAAATGTTAATTGTCACAATTCAGCAAAAACCGACAAAAATGCAAAGAAAAGAAATGGAAAAGATGCGAAACGAAATTGAGATTGAAAAATTCCGTAGCAAATTACTATCACAAGAGCGTGATAAAAAGTCAGTATTAATACGGCGTTTCAAAAACAAACTAAAAGAGTTGGTTGACTTGAACGAAAAAACAAGTAAGTTAATTAAACAAACAGTGAAATATGTATATTTTATTTGTGAAATAACGCACAGATATAGAATTAATGGATAACTACTATCAACTAAGCCGCGAGAGCGAGCACTTGAAGAAAATGAAGAAAGACATGGCTTGTAATCAGGAGCTGTTGATGACTCTATATTCGCAACTGAATCAACGCAGGAGGCAATTATTGCAACAGTTGTTGTTTATCTACCCAATACAACAAATCTCTGAGAAAAAGTACACAATTCATGGGATTTACCTACCAAATTCGGACATTTTATCAGGTTGGTATTACTACCAACTTTGACGTTTCTTTTATTGTGACACAATGTTGCCAGACTGCTCCGATATGGGGATTTCCGTGGCATTGGGGTACATAACCCACGTGTTATTGATGACCTCCACGTTCCTGCAAGTGCCCTTAAGATACCCAATGACACATTACGGTTCAAGATCATACATTACCGACCATGTGTCACCGATTTTACCCGACCGGGAACGAGAGTACAAACGTCAAGTTGGCAATCCTGATTTGATTTACTTTTGTACATTTTTAGCTTCCCACTGTTTACCAAAGGCAAAGAAAAAATTCAGTTTACTTACGCTGTTTATCTTTTAAATAAGAATATTGCTCAGTTGAGGTGGTTGTATTTTATGCACACACCTGAATTGAAAGCAACGTTGCCGAATCTACTAACTTTTCTTGAAGGGCGAGACTGCAAAGAAACCCTTCCGTTAGTTACGATTAGTTTAGGTTTAAATCCAGAAGCTGATCATCGAGTACCGGAAATGAAAATTAGCGAGTTTCCAAAAAAATGTAGTAATGTGGTCAGGAGTAGTGAGTGTGGGCCAGGATTAAGCGAGATTTTAGCAATTCCGGAAGCTTTTATGAATAAACTAATCACGTCGGATTCTTTTAAAAATTATATTGCTTTGAAAAAAACAGGTAGTAGAAGAATTTTAATATAACTCTTGTTACATAACGGTTCTGTAGCAGACGAGACTAGCGCTTCAATTGTTATAAAAGAAGGCATCGTTGATGAAAACAACAAAAACTGTGATAATAGTGAAGAAGCCATTGAGCAAGGAACGGATACACTTGATCCTTCTGCGGATTTGGAGGGCAAGTCCATAGATTTAAACGAAGATAAACAAGGGGACAGGAAAATGGATGATAGTCAAACGGAACTATTGGAGAAGTGGATGAAAAACGGAACTTCCTCTGAATGTTGTAGCAATGTTGGAAGTTTGGTTCAAACTTGTGAAAATTTTTCCGAAATTGCAGTACAAAGTGTCGATAGTCCACTGATGGCTAGGACCGATGCATTGCGTACCACGAAATCATTCAACTTGGTCAAGCCAAAACCGAATTTGTGATTGTTTTATCGAATTATTTAAGATTTTATTTTTTAATTCAAAATCTCTAGGTATTTAATACTACATTTCTGTTTTCATTTAAAGAAGTTATTGTTAATTTCAAATTAATTTACACAATAAATATTTATTCCATTTTAACCCGATTTTTTAACACTGTGGCCAATACAAAGGTTCAGGTTTATTAAACGCGCAGCGAAGCGCGAGTTTTCACAAATGACTTATGCAACAAGTTTTTGTATGCTATTTTGCGTACTTTTTTCGAAGTGTCAAGTCTCGAATATTTTTCAAAATTTTGTTGAATTAACGATGAATACTGCAAATATTTCAGGCACACCACCTAAAATGAGAGAAATCGCGCAAAACGCCGTTGAAAATCACCATCACCAACCTCTAGAAAGTAAATTGTACTAGTCTATATATCCTATATATCTATCTGTTCTTTGAGTCTATATCAGCACCCGAATTGGTGTAGGACTGTAGGAATAATAAATGATCCATTGATATTTCTTTGAAGACCATTTCACGGTCGCCAAAACATTTATTTCGATCTTGAAGTGTCTGTTTCTTACTAAAATTTAAATAAAAACTGCCCATGTGCTGCACCTGTCATTTTTTTAACACACAGAACTTGCTGCACATTCATAACCTCAAATACAAACATATCGAAAAATCACAACAGACGCCGCCGTTTATGGGTTTCTTAACAACGCTGCAGGTGCTGAAATGTCAACAAAATTTTACACATCTTGTATTAAAATTAGGGGCATCCCGATAATACCCCCTTTAGTAAGTCAACAATTCTTCGAGAATGAACCTTTTTCAACCAACCCCTTTTTTTCGTTCGCAGGTCACCCCAAAAGTTCGCGAAGAATGCCTCGAATACAAACGAAAAGCAATCGAATTAGAAAAAAAGCAAGAAAGGAGTAGAGTTTTCCAACAATGTTTAGAGGACCTTGAGAGACTCCAAACCACAGATTTGACGACAATACCGAAACATAAAACTCTTGAAAATCAACTGACTTTTGTTGAAGATAATTCAGTCCATTATTCGTCTAGTCCTGTGCCTTATGATACTTATAAAAAATTACAGAATTTAACAAGTGAGACTATTGATGTTAGTGAGTACAGCGATGAGGGGGTGAAAGTCATGAGTAATGAAGAGAAAAACACCCCCCCGAAACTGATTCGAAGTAACTCTTACACTTTGGATAGTCCCAGCCCCATTCTTTTGGCCCATTTGGAGAAAGAGGCGCGGAAGTGTATAGAAATGGAAGAGAGTGAGTCTCAGAGTTTGTCACCAGTCACGGTCATTGATAGCGAGCGGGAGCCCCCTTTACAGGTTATCGAAACGGACGTTTCAGTCCAGCAAGTTACAGTGACAACAGTGGAGCCCCAACTGAAGGAACTTCTCGACAAACTGCCCCAAGAACACGCCAGGAACATACTCGAAATTTTGAATAAGCAACAAGAGGAACAGAAAAGTGTCTCAGAGAAGTTTACCACTTCTGATAAATCAATGAGTGTCTCAATATCAAGTCAATCTCTTTACTATTCAGTATTATCATCGGACACGACGCCGCCACACGCGAGCCCCATCAACGTTGTTAATCTTCGTAATGTGAAAAATATGGACGAGAACAAGGCTGCGAGTGTTATAGGGGCTGCTGTAAGGGGGTATTTAGTGCGAAGACTGATAAGGACTGAGAAGGTGCAAGGGCTGATTGACACAATAAAAGATGCACTTTTATGTGCTATTCAATTGCATAATGCCGACGTGATTGAACCTGCAGATGTCGAGCTTCATCGACGACTCATTCAGCAAGTTTCAGCTGCTTGTTATGCATTTCATGACATTTTTTTCACACTTTCGATCAAAGAACAAATGGGGGTTATTACTATGGATAGACAACGAAAAATTGAAAAGGCAAAGAGGCCCCTCTCGGCAACGAACTCAAACCTGTCGATTTCGCGAAGACAAAGCGCTCGAATGGTGCGATGATGGACCAAGTGGCTTATCAAAAGACAAGCAATGATATATTTATTTTTATTATTATATAACAATAGCGAATATGACTAAATAAAGTAGTATTTTATGATTATTTACACGAGTTTTGCTATTTATAACAGATGGTAGTAGTACATCCACATAATCATAACCTCATACCGAATGACTAATTACAATTATTATCATACATAAATAATTTTATTGAAGGCACGTAACTTATACTTTGTAGTATTTTATTGGCTCCTATCACTTCATGCAAGGAATGATCATTTCTACGACGAAAGCCTTAATTACGGAAAAAGCTTACTTTTCGTAAATGTGTTTCTAGTAAGCTAAAGAACGATTTTTAAAAAATACACACAAGATGGTTACTAAAAGTTTAGGATTTTTAAATAAATAAATTTGTAACAATGATAAAAAATTCATAGGTGAATTGAGTCCGGATCACTGTACCGTTGTGATGTGAAATACAGGACCTATCCTTAGAAAGACTCGACGAAGGATGGATCGCAATTCGGCTTTGAGATCGAAGCAAACGATTTCGCATAGAAGGGAGTAATATCTCGACACATGCACAGCGAACTAAAAAATAAATATTAAACCAAACAGTCTCAAAAAAAAAAAAAAATTCTTACTCTATCATCAGGCATTTTGAGTAGCCTCGTCAACACTAACAACAAGAGCATCGTCCACTCCTCCCTATGCGCCTCACTTTGCAACTTTAAAAAATAATCCAAAGCTTCCTGACACACTCCAATTAATTTCGTCTCAATCAATGACCAATGTTGTCTCCTACTCTCATCACAGTACATTTTAAAAAGAATCCTCAACGAGCACGCCAAACTATGCGTCTCCTGTTTCATCAAATTCGGCTTGGTTGATGACCCGCCACCTCTATAACCCGCTTTCCACAGTAAATTTCGCTGTTCATGATCCAAATTAAAAGCTTTAGCAAATCTGTGCGACTGGAGAAGACAATCCGTTAATTGTAATAGATGCGGTGAGGTCAAAACTCTGTACATCCCCTGTTCCTCCCTTTGACATTCCGTCAACGAACCGTTTCCGGCCATATCGGCCGCGGCTAAAGCCCAAGTTTCGGCATCTTCTTTTCGCGAAGTTGCTGGATAAAAAACAATATTGTCGATGGTTTGAATGAGTTCCAACTGGACGGCACTCTTAATCGCCAATTTGTTAAAAAGAGCTGAATCTGAATTAGTCCGGTCATAAACCGTCGGTTTTTTAAGAATTCCTTTAACATCACCATTTTGCTCAATCACGGCCGTTGTCTTCATCCATTCGGGTTTCCAAGTGAGGAGAGCCGTAGGAACAGTCGAATCGAAAATGTCCAACATACAACGACAAGTTCGGTCCCACGTAACCTCATCAAATTTCTGTCCATTTGAATTGACCAAATTCTCCAAACAATTCGTTCCCGATTTAGCCAATTGTTCGTTGTCTTGTAACACACACCAATGCAACTGCGAGTATAACTCATCCAATAATAGCGGCCCCAAAACATCAAAATACTGCGTAAAAACATCCACGATTGCATACAAAGCATGATTACAAGTCGTCGTCATCCATTCCGCCTTCTCTGTGTGCTGTTCCGGTAGCTTCATATTATCGAAAATTCGGAATAAAATCTTGAATAGGTCCTTCCACCAATGACTCGCAAACGTATCACCGTAGGTTTTTATTATTTCGAATAGTACAGTCAAGGCTCGTGTCCTCACATCCAACTTGCACCGATTCACCACACAAGATAGGGAAAAGAGTAGCGGAAACCAGCCTCGCACCCAAATGCGATCCTCTTCGGCAACGGTCACGTCATTCTCCATACCAGCGTGTTCGGCAAAGAGGTGAGCACAGGAGTTGACACTGTTTGCACAGGAACGCACAAGACGAATGGCTTCCATGGAGGTGTCGAGGAAACGGGCGTTACATGCAAATTCGGAGAGGCACTTGACAGCGTCTTGAAACGAATCAATCATTGAGGCGAATTGCTTGTCGTAGAGTTCGGTGATGATTTTGCCCGTTGTTTGAAAAGCAAGCTCAACAATGGATTCCTCCTGGTCGCTGGCGGCCAAATGGAATACCGAGAAAATGTTCTTCCAACCGGATTTTATGTTACTGGCCTGTGAGTTGACCATCTGGGCCACGCAACGGACCTTAAAAATATAAATACATTATAATAAGTAATTAATTATACGTAAACTACTTACCACCATATCTCTTATCGTCGGCGACACATTCTTCTTCATAATATGCTCAAATGGTCTCAAAAAATCCTTCTGAAATCTAAAATTCGGAAACTCTCCCTTTTCAATAAACTTCATCGACAGCTGTCTCAGACTATCGACCGCAAAGAAACAAATTTCCTCGTTCGTGTTACACCCCACTGTATTAAAATGTTCTCCCAATACTTGCCAAATTCGTGACCATTGCAATCTGATCCTCCCCATATTATAATAAGAAATCTCAACGATTTTCTGCAATGAAAACATACGGGGATGTCCCGGATGCGCCAACTCTTCCAATGACACTTGACACAACGCCTTTACAAAATCCACAATAGCATCGCCATCTAACCTCGTCGATCCTGTGAAAATCCGGTCAACTGCCACTACCACACTTTGCGAACTCGTTTGTCCTATATGCTCCTTCGAGGTCAAATCCGGGGGCTTGTGACCCGGACCAGAGAGAAACTCCGGACGCACTCCGGTACCGATAAGTTGTGCCAACTCGAGCTGAGAGATACATTTGAGGATATCAAGCCAACTCGAGCCAAGATAATTGCCATCGGTGTGCGCTACCATGATGAGTGTTTTAATAGTATCAATGTTTTTGGCTTTCATATCCATGATGGGTGAATTAGTGGTAAGGAGGGTAAACCGGGCTAAAGCCTGAACATAAGCGTCCCTTTCTAGAGACATATGAAAAATACAGGCGACTCTAATTGCGCATCGAATACCATCAAGACACAATGTAGCGACTTCTTGATCATCGCAGTCTTGCAAACCAACGCTGAATGCAGCAAGAAAAGAAGTCCATGAAGTCTTAAACATTGGTCTCACATGATCTAAATGTTTGGCTAGTGTGAAAGGGGCTTGGACATGTGAAACGGACTCCATTAGGTTTTTTGCAGCTGTTGCTATAGCCTCCATTTCCATATTAAATAAAATTTTACGTCTTTTTTCACTATTGATTTGTTGCTTTCCCGGCTTATTTACCGTATTTTTCATTTTGATTTCATGACCAGCGATTTCGTCATAAATCTGGGAAAGATACTCTTCTGGAACATCTTTACTATCGGTATTTCCCCGATTTATCTTAATATACTCCTCTTTGCTCATCTTATTTTTCACTTGAGGTGAATGTAAGTCCGTTGTGAGCATTATAATAGAGAAGCCCAAAACGTAAGCCGTGTCAGCACTTGCAAAAAGTCCATTATTCGGATTACATTCACAATATCGACTTGCAAATTTTTCCATCAATCGATCGATTTTTTGAGCTTCACCGGGTAACCGAAAACCTTCAAGAAAATAACGCAAAGCCGCCACAAACTCCATATTAGTAAAGTCCATTTGATCGACATAAGTATACATAACTTCCTTGCAAAAATCATCGTTATCACCCATAAAATCGCCAATAAAAGTCTTATCTAATCGATCTTCGTTGTGTAAAAACTTTGCAACTTCTTCGTGTGTCGTTCCTAAAAGTCCGTGTTCTTGCAAGAAGGCGACCCCTTTTCGTGGCTTACGATTAAACATATCGATGCCGGTCTCCCAAACTTCTTTTTGTTGTTTTAGAACTTCAAGTTGTTCAGGTGAGTCTAAAGTTTCTTTGTTGCCACCACCGCTGGAGCAGTCGCTCGAATGCAGACTTGTGGTAGAGCCCCCATGTGACTTTAGGGAAGCGTTATCGCTCCCATTCACCGGTTGTTCTCCCACTGTTGACTGAAGATTGGGATTGACATATAAATCCTTACTCCATTCCACCATACATTTTAAAATGGAAACAAGACATTCCAAGCCCAACATTTTCATTGCACGCTCTTGATTAGGTGAAGCCCCCAGCTCGACTGAATGTCTTCCTTGAGCTACTTTAAACAAATCGTTGACTAGACGTTCGAATAAGTTGGCCGCGGCCAAATCACAATCATAGTTGACGTAGATATCCACAACACATTGTGCATCTCCACAGATCCTTGTCAGGGCTTGAATCACCATCCATTTGTGTTCAAACGACGAATTTGTCGTCTCTAAAATATTGAGAAAAATCTCCTTGAAGAAAACTTCGATTTGCATCTTGAGATGCATTTTAAAATTGGAAAGTAACGCTAAGAAAATGGCCAATGACAATTCAAACACTTTGGGAATGGAGCTAACACCATTTTTCGAGAGGGCAACACAAAGGTACTGCTTAATGGCCGTTATAAACATTTCATTGGAACGAAATACGGGACCGGCATTTTGAAGTATCGATAAGAGAAGTTGAAGGGAGAGAATTTTCGAACGAAGCTCGTGGGATTTAGGGTCGGGAGTGCCTTCGGGAAGCGGCTTCATAGAGAGCTTGCACAAGGCGCGGAACACCAGGAAAGCGTCTTTTTGAAGGACGTGTGTGAATTTTGCAGTTACGGCAGAATCATTCTCGCTGTGAGTATCCATGCTTTCTTGCGATGCAACTCTAAAAATATGTTTGATTTGTTTAATTATTAATTTTTTGGGTGGTTTACCTAGGAATCGACGAAAGACTGCCTTCGTTAATCTGCTCAGCAATTTTCTTATGCTCCACTTCCGTGATGACATCATTGATTATACCATCCAAAATTTCATTCACCACTTCTGCACTTCCGGAATCGATGATGACGTCTTCCTTAATTTCCAGAGTGTCTTCAATTTTCAAAGACTTGACCGATTTCGTATCAATGCCATTCAATTGAATTTCTGATTGTACTTCAGCATCGAGTGCTTGATTTTCCATTCGAGTAAAAATAACATTAAGCATTTGTGTTAGCGTGGCAATTGCTGTAGTCTGATTTATGAGATTTTTACTAGCTAGAAAAATATTGTAACAAGTTCGAACAGCTAAAAGAACAGTCCCTTCATGAACTTCCACATGTTGACTTGTAACAACTGTCAAAAGCGCCTTGATTATCTGCAATTGAACCCCCTCGTCGGTCTGAGGCCCCGTGAAACAGGCACATATCGTTTCGACAATTCTATCAATGAGAAGCTTCCCCGGAGTTGTCGAATCCGGGACGTTGGCTGTGAGATGTCCATAGGCAATCAGTTTTTGCAAACAATCCAAGGCCGTGACCACGATCCTAGCCGACCTACTCTGGCACGCCAATTCAAAAGGCAGAAAGTATTTTTCAGTAGTGAGGACATTGACTTCGCCACTTTTAGGCATGGGAAGAGCGTCGGAGACTTTCTCCCCCTCCTGGTCCTCATCTTTCACTTCCTTTTTGATATCCTCTGCAAAATCAAATACAACTAAATCGTCTAAAAGGGATCAAATACTATTATACATACCCAGAGCCACCTCACATGCCCGCTTCAACTGCGAGTGGTGTGACCTCTTGATTTCCTTGTCATTGAGGATCTTTTCCAGCGCTCGCAAAATGAACATTTCTTTGGTTTTAGAGTTTGATTGCATTATTAATATACTGGTGGTTGAATCAGTTAAAACCCTTCACGTTGAAAGAGGAATCATGACTTGTGACGTGTTGAACTAACAGATATTGAACGATTCTTTGTACGCATTTGCACTATTGATGGGTTTTGCGTGACAGATGTTATGGTTCGAAAGACTACACGTAAACATTCGTTTTATAACACTGATAACTTTGGTAATTTTTAGTAATGTGCTTTTTTAAACACTTTAATGTTTATCATTGTAAGTGGACATGTCACACACCTGTCAAATAAAATTGATATAGAATTTTGACAGATGACAGCAAGTTAAGCCCAATGAGTCCCCAAATAAAAAAAAAACCCGTAATAAGCTAAATAAAGCTAAGGTTTGTAATAAAAATATTTTTCTGTATTTAAAAATAAATACCGAACAAATTTAAATGTTGTAGTGTTGGTTGCTTATATCAGATAATTTGTAATCGAGTTATCTTAGCATCCGAGAACGTATGTCTGTTTTTGAACTAACTGCTCAAGAAACGTCAAATAAAATGACAAGTCGAAAGGTAAAACGGCAAAATGGGCTGGAATTAGTCGCCGACGTATAATAATACGAGTAGGACCGTTATTTTTTGAAGGTAAATTATAAATTTTGTTATTATAATCATCGTCTTTTTGATTTTGCCGTTTTGCCTTGTCATTTTACTTGACATTTTACAGACATACGTTTTCGGATCCAAGGATGACTCGATTACAAATTATGTTGATCGCTCGATATAACAGTGTAACAAAATATAGAAAATGTAGAAAGACTACACATATAAAGATTGATTATTTAATCAAACTTGTGCACAATGTCATTATGTTCCCTTAGTAATTTTTGCAACATTTGAGCATCACCAAAACATTTGCAACATTTGAGCACCTGTGGCCCAAAATCAATAAGAACAACATCATCATCAACAAAGACATAATTTTCTGTATTGAAATAATTATCTTGAAGATATTCCATATCAAGGATAGCTTGCCCCATTTGATCAAACACTAATGCCAAATTCAAATTATTATCTTCGTAAACGATTGCAAATTTAAGGTTGTTCCGCAACGTCCCTTCGATAATCGCTTCACCGTTTTGCTTGTTTTTCGGATAATTGAAAGCGTTGTAAGTTCCGGGCCAGTCGATAAAAACTCCAAAAATTTTTTTGTTGGTCTCTTTGGTTTCGAACCAGGGCAACGTAGACCTCAGGATTGGGGTAACCCTGGAGGAAATAAGGGAGTTGAAGGAGTAAGACAGGAAGGAAGAGTTTATTCATTTTGTCTGATTTAGGCGTGATTTTCATGTGGAAGTGCTGAGTCAGCGATTGCAATTGGTTGAGTGGTGCTTGTAAAAAAAAGACAATTCAAAATGAGAACAGGTACTTAAATGTCTAATAATATAAATAATTAAAGCAATGAAACTGTAAATAATAGCAGTATAGCAACAAGATGACTTGCTATGCTCTATTATATTATATTTTACCATTGTTTTTAGTTATAGTGATTTTGTTTTCTTTAATGAAGACAAATTATTTTATTTTTTTTATTTTAAATAAGCAGAGTTGGAGATTTAAAAAAAACAATTTTAAGTTTAAATAATATTCGTTAATGCCCTTTTGGCAATTTACGCACCAAATAAAGGTTTACCAATTTCGAAAGAAAAAAAACGTGTATTTTATTTGATAAGTATCTATTGAAAAAAATATTACCACATGCAACAACAATATTTTATTTATATTGCAAACAACAGAAATGACAAATTAAATGATGCGGTCAAAATACAAAAATTTACAAGCTTCCTTTTTATTATTGTGAATAAAAGCCCTATTATAATTGTTATCCTGTACCTATTTCAAAACTTTATTTTTAGATGTTATCTTGGCTTAACTTTTTACTTCAAATTTCTTAATAGTTAGAGATTTTTTTATGATTTGTCATTAAGAGTTTTGTTTACTTCGCTCCTCTCTGTCATTGCACTGGTATCGGATAAAGCGATAACAAACTTGTATGACCAATCACGGATTTCATCAGGAAGTAGGTAACTTTTCCAAGTTAAATACCTATATAAACCTTCTAGTTTTGAAAATCGGGCATAAAAATGAAACTTTCATTCTTGCTCGTTTCTCTTTATTTCTGGGCTTCGGCCCAAAGCCACGACATCTACGTTCATATGATGCCCTGGTTCGAGACCAAAGAAAGCAACGGTGGTACTTGGGGCATCCATTGGACCATGGCCAACCGAAACCCCGACAATATCATCGATGGCAAACAAGATATCGCTTCCTTCTACCATCCGGAAATCGGGGCTTACGCTTCCGGAGACCCAACTGTCATCGACTGGCAAATGGGCTACATGAAAACGGCTGGAATTAAAGGAATTTTCCTCGATTGGCCTGGAACCACTCAAGCTATGGACTATCCGAAAAACAAGGAAAATTGCGAAGCCATTATTGCTGGAACTGAGAGAGCCGGCTTGCAATTTGCTGTCGTGTACGAAGACAATAATTTGAATCTTGCGGGAGTCCCAGACAAAATTGCTCAAGGTACGAAATTTTCAACTAAATCAAAAAATAATCCGATTTATAGGTACCGCTGATATGGAGTATCTCCAAAACAATTATTTCAGCAAAAGCAACTATGTGAAAGTGAATGGTGTTCCGTTATTGTTGGATTTTGGCCCTCAAGCGTTATTTGACGCCAATTGGGATAGTATTTTCACACCCTTGAACCCAAAACCCACATTTTTAACACTCTGGAACCAGCACCAACAAGGGGGGAGTATGGTAGCGGGGGAATATGCTTGGGTTTATTCAAATTTCCTCGATGGACTTAACAACTGGTCAGTATTTAAATTTAATAGTATGTAGTAGTACTCAAGGGAAAAAAAAATTAGGTACAACTATCAAGACGTTCCCCTCAAAGTCGGAGTTGCTTACCCCGGTTTTAATTCGTTTTATGAACAAGGAGGTTGGCCCGGTCCTGGATTTACAATTCCATACGGAACAGATACTTTTCACCAAACTTTTGATTTGGCTTTGCAACATACTGATATAATACAGATTTGTACATGGAATGATTATGGCGAAGGTACGGTTGTTGAACCCACTTTAGAGTATGGAACACAATTTTTGGATATTATTCAACAAGCTTCTGGTACTAAATACACTCGTGCTGACTTTGAAGAAAATACTGAAATTTTCTTATTGAGAAAACAGCATGCAAATAATGCTACGATGCTTGCACATCTCGAAGAAAGATATCGCAAACTTATACACAAACACGACTAACTTTTTTTACTGTTATTTCTAAGTTTTACATTCTACAATAATTATTTCAAAATAAAATAAGCATGGCTTAAAACTCGTATTTTTCTTTCATAAAAGATTGCCACTTGAGAGATTCTGAATAATTGAACAAACTTTTAAGTGACTTAAAATTCGTACTTTTATTGTATGTAGGTAGGTATATGTATGAGAGCATTTTAAAATTTTCACTTTTTCTGTAAATCCCATAAAATTATTCAGGTATTATGAACAAAGAAAATCGGAATAACATATTGTTGTTTTTAATAATATTTACAAATAACACACCTTAACACTGTAGTGTTTTCTAAAAACGATAATTTCAAATGCTCTAATCAGTCCACTACTAGCCCCTGTTAGCAATCAAACTGGCCCTCTTTGAATCCACACATTGCTGAAAGGCTTGTACGATTTTAGCACACTTCATTGGTTCATTCGCATGCTCCCTATAACACCTCATAACGGCCTCTTTAGCATCCTGACACGGGGGTAACGCCCTAGATGGAGTTTTAGTCTTTTCTGTTACTTCCATTTCCTCAATCTACAATAAACAACGTGAAACAAACCAACGCCTCACTCTCCCACTCTTACAGCTTTCTTATATTCCGCTTCCATAATCTCGTTAATTTTCTGATGATTTGCTTGCTGGTTTTTAAGTCTATTCTCCCAGTAGTGGTCGTTTTTCTTTAATTCTGCTAAATTGGCCTGTCTTAGCTGGACTGAAGTTACGCTGGGCTCATATATAAACATGGGTTGGACCGGCACGGCCTGCTGTGGGGGTGCTTGTTGGTAAGACGGTTCGGGGGCAGCTGGCCTTGCTTCTAGCAAAGGTTCAATATTATGTAATCAATAACACATTTTTTTTTGAGGTTTAATTCATTCATTTCGATATGTTTTGCTCGGATTTGATAACTAAGGTCGTGTGAGCCCCTAACGTAACTTTATTGATCTTGTTTACGACTAATCTGAGTTTTATTGCAAAGATTGAGGTTATGTCACTTTACCTTGACTGTTGTTTTTAATACGTTGCACTACATCGTCTGATACTTTTATTACACTAGTTGGGTCATCATTTTCCACTGTTAATTTTCTAGTACGGCTTTGGCTTCCACCCATTTTCAACGAATTAATTCTTTTGCAATTTTGACAACTTCGAATTCACTTGCCGGCGTGTCGAGCAAAATAAAAAGGTGGCAGCACCATAGAAAATTATAATAAAAATTGTGGAACCAAACAAATTATTACTTTACGAAAAAATAGTTAGTACAGTTTAAAGTACTATAGAAATGTGATCGTTTTTTCAAGAACAAAATTTTTCGAAATTGAGTTTTGGGTGAATTTGATTTTTTTGGGCTGGCAACACTACTAACACTAGCCTTGTAGCAGGCAACCAGTAATACATTTGTAAACGACAAACTAGGGTCAAGTGTTGTTCCTCAAATTGAAGAAAATCTTAGAGGTACCTCAAAATGAGCGACAAGTCGTACCCCAACGGCGGTGGCTACGCCCCCCTCAACAACGTGTACAACCGGGCCCCCTGCCCGGACAGTGGCCCAAATCAGCAATTTTATTCGTACAACATGCCAATAAACAACAATTACAACCAACTGGAAGCCTTCAATATGATTTCGCCCCAAAACTATCACAAGAATCAGAATGTGTGCATGTATCCGGAGCTACCGAGTTGGGACAGTCGCATCTACGAAGACACCTTAAAAATCCCCGACAAAATCGAAATGATTGAAATCACAAGCAAGGATTTGAGTCCTGCGAGCTTTTGCAGCAACTTGGACTTGTTAGTGCCTGACTTTTACAAATCTTTGGGTAAGGATTTGAACTATTTTAATAAATTTGAAGGGTTTGGAGGTAACCAAAAGATTGATTTCCCGTCTTGTGCCCAGAGCAACCAAGGGGGAAGTTCACAGACTGTTAAATATTGCAGTATACAAAACATTGAATATCACAATTACGGTGGGGTGTATGAGGCTCCAGGAGGGGGGCAAGAGTATTACAATTATTATGACAATGGCAAAATTTTGGATCAAAATCAATACTTTGATTTGCCGCCTCTGGACCAACAAACTGAGTCAAATGATGAAAGTGATATCATTGTGGAGGAGTCCGATGAGGATTGTACCACCGACTATGAGGGGAAAAAAGTGCCCTCGAGGGACAACAAATGCATCATTTGTAACGTCTCATACACACCGCTGGGGACCCAATTTTACTTTTTGACTCTCAAAAGCCCCCTAACTATGTCATCGCAAAAACCTGTCTTTACGAAAATCGTCAGTATTGTGGGGAAAATTCGCAACGATATTAATTATCTCTGTAGCGAGTGTTTGGGGCTCATTAACACCATTGATCACTTGCAATTAAAACTCGACGGTTTTAATATGGAATTATTAATGAAGTTTAAAAGGACGTGCCAGGAGAACAATAAAAATAATAACAATAAGAGGAAAAAACGTCCCCAAGATCGCAAAATGAAGTGTAAACTTTGCAAGAAAATCATCTCTTTGCGGCAGATTTGCGAAAACCACACAAGGAAACATAAATTTAAAGGCTTTTTATGCGAATTGTGTGGCGAAATTTCACCGACTTGGAGACGTTTCAGACTACACTATCAACAACACAAAACTAAACCGCTTAAAATAGCAGCTTTTGTTTGCTCAAATTGCCCTAAAAGCTTCAGGACTCGGTCGAATTTAATTGAACATGAGAACTATTGTCTCGGTTTGCTCCCTCACAACTGCAAATTCTGTGATAAAAAGTTCCCTTCGAGTACGAAACTGAAAAATCACGTCAGACTCAAACACGATAAGAAATTCATCGCGATTTGTTCCATTTGTAACATTGGTTTTGTCAAACTTTCCGATTATAAGGCCCACAAAATCAGCCACAGCACTGATAAAAAATTCTCGTGTACAAAATGCGACAAGACTTACAAAACTTTAAGCAACTTGAACTTCCATATGAAGGTGCACAGTGGCAAGTTGCCCTTTATTTGTACGATTTGTGATAAGGGCTTCATGAGGAAGGAGTATTTGGAGGCTCATGTGAATAATCACAATGGAGTTAAAAACTTCGGATGTCATGTGTGTAATAAAAAATTTGTGTCACAGAAGAATCTGGACTCGCATTTGAAGTACCACGATGGGTCGGCGAAAACCCGGACTTGTAACATTTGTAGTAAAGTGATGACAAGTGGTTTTGAGGAACATTTGAGGATTCATAACAATCTGAGGGAGTTTGAGTGTGATCAGTGTGACAGTAAATTTAACACAAAAGGGACTTTAGCCAAACATAAAAAACGCAAACATGTCAATAAAACGAACTAAGCTAAGAGAGTTTATTATTTACATTTTTTCTACATGTTTCAAGGCCACGATGGGGGTTCACCCTCCTTCAAAACACGTCCATATAGAGCGCTCTTGTCCCGGAAAAGGGTGAGACGCTCAGTTTCCTTCCTGTCTAAAAACCACCCAAAGCCGAAACCGATAACAGGCAATGCTACCAGATACATGTCTTTATGGATGAAGTACCTCAGTTTCATTTTGTTTCTCTTTTTCTACTTTGTTTTTCTGGGTGTGGGAATAATCGGCGTAAATTGAACTTACAACGAACACTGGTAGCAAAGTTACGATGCAATAACGGCTGATTATGCGGCCAAAGGCAATGGCCATCTGAAATTACGTCACAATTAGGTTATGTCACAATTAAAACAAAAAAAAAAGGGAGAAAAACAACCATGGTCACATATACCTACCAAAAATGTAGTTTGTGGCCCAAACTACACGAAATTATGAAAAAAATTATCGCATTAATCACAAATATAATATATTTTGTTTCTCAAAAACGTCCCTCAAGGGTGCCAACCAAAAATTGTTTATTTCGCGAAAGTACCAAACAGTTAAATGTCAACATGGATGATGTCAACTCTAAGTGAGGTTAAAATTTTATAAATATTTAGTTTGTAATATATTTTTTGTACAATGAACGCCTACGGCTCGCATTTGCTGCCCCCGGCCAAGGAAAGTGTCCGTGCGGCGTGTAAAAAGTGCGGTTATGCCGGTCATCTCACCTACCAGTGTCGTAATTTCATTAAAGTGGACCCCAACAAAGAAATCGTTTTGGATGTAAGTAGCACCAGTAGTGAGACTGATCAAGAATACTTGACACCCCTTACCGAGTTACGTGAGAAGGAGTTGGTTGATAAGTTGAAGAAGAAGCACAAGAAGAAAAAGAAGGTGGAGAAGAAAACGAAAAAACGGAAACATTCTTCTGAATCGGACAGTGATAGTGAGGAGAAGGAAAGAAAAAAGAAGAAACATAAAAAGAAAGCCAAGAAGAAAAAGCGGCATTCGGAGTCTGAGTCGGATTGATGTATAATTTTTTTTTTATAAAACAAATACTAAAATTGCTCAATTTTTATTTACAACATATTGACACCTCCGACAATATTAACAACGCGTCCTTTGTACCTCTTGGAAATATCCTGTTGCACTTCCTTCTGCAACTGCTTTGTTTTCTCAATTAGTAGCTTAATGGCGGGTTCAAAATTCTTAACTTCACTTTGATACTTCTCAATTTGTTCTTTCAGCAAACTGATACTTTGTTTCATCCTCCCGGTTAAAGTCAATTTTTGTTTTAAATTCGCAGTTAAAATGTCCACATATTTGGGCGAATGTTTGATATTGTGTAAATGCAAAGTTCTCTTGTTCATTAGTTCAGTTAAAGCAACATTTACACAGTCGCTCATTGATGTTATTGTTTCGACTGTTTGCATCTGGAGAGTGGCTGGTGCATTTTGCATTTGAGACATTGCTAAAATATCTGAATCGTTTGATAATTCAAAGAGACGCATTTTGAGAAACGAATCCAATTCTAGTAATTCATTGATAACTTGATCTCGTGTTTTAGGGTTGTCGAGAACAGTTAGAGCGTCGGTGCCCCTAGCCACCCCTCCGTCCATCCCAGATTTCTCAACCACAATTCCCGATTCTTCTAGGGACAATTCAACGTCTGTATGCTCAACAATTTCGAATTCTTCATCGGTGCTGGGGGTTCCCCAATCAATTTTCGATTCTTCAAGTTCAAAATCGTTATTTTCACCGAAATCTATTTCATTATCGCCAAAATCGATCTGTTCTTCATTTTCAGTTTCTTCTACAGTGACCTTGTCAGGAGTGTCATCGTCTAGCTCGATTTTAAGCGGTTTTTCATTGTAAGTGTATTCATAAGTAGTCGCGTTTCCTTTTTCTACTACAAATTTCAGTAGGGGAAGCACATCCACTTCCTTGTCTTTCCCCGACAAGTATTTATTAAACTCAGTGTATAACTCAATTGCAGGTTTTACAAACTTGATTTTCTCAACTGCATTTTCGTAAATTTTGGGTAACTCTCGTAGGAGTTGAAGCAACTCACTTTTGATATTTTTTCCAGCGATCCCCAACTGTTCACAAGACGTGTGAAACTCCTTAAGGGCCAAGGCTTCATTCTTTGAATAATCCTTGATTTTCTTCTCAGCGTCAGCTTGGGATTGTTCAAGTTTTGTTACTTGTTTCTTTAAGCTAGGAATCTCGTAACTGACATTTCTGATTAAAATTTGTGCGGCTTCTGCCAAGTAAATMTTGTCTTTCTGATACATTGAGACGATTTGTTGCCAATCTTTCATCCTTTGGGAGCCATAACGTCCAAATAAATTTTTAGTGTCCGCTTCAGTTTCCTTCAAAATCTCGATTATTTTCAAACAGTGGAAATAATTAATGTGTTGGCCTGATAATAATTTGATAATTCCTTCATGAGCTGGCATATCCTGGATCGCACTGTTGATTTTTTCTCGCACTTGTAGAATGCTGTTTTGCCAGTCTTTGTTGACGTGGCGGCGACTCACCAACCAGTCCAGAAGTTTATTATTATTAATATCGATTGGGATATTTTGTTCATCCATTTTTAACAATTTATTGTTAAATTTTAACAATTAAACATATGTTAGTTGTGACAGTTATTTGACATTTGATGGATGTGGCTAAGGTTCCGCAAAACGCGCGTTTTTTGAATAAAACTGCATTTTATCCCAATATGCTTATTTTAGCAAAGTGTATAATTAATTATCTACAGAGTTAAATACAAATAATTACATTTAGGCAATGCTAACATCTTACATCACAATATAAAATCACAATCTTTTAAATGCTAATCATATGTACAATAAAATTACACCCGCAATAACAAGTCAATAAATAAACACAAACTATTTGATATAACAAAACAATAAGTTGCCACGTAGAGACATTTTCCAATACTGAACTTTGTTGGAAAATAAAAAAAATACACTTATCGCGGAATTTTATCAAGAAAATCCATTTCAATGACTTTGTCGATTTTCTCTAAGATCATAATTAATTTTTTATCAGACTGTCTATCATTTAAAGTGTGATGATCGCTAGTGGTGATTTTACCACATTCTGTCCTATGACGGTTAGAACATAAACTAAGAGTTTTAAAAAAACTGTGCAAATCTTTTAGTTGATTAATACTGTTCATCGTTAGTAGTAGTTCATTCCGTTTCATTGGCAGAGTTTCGATTTGAGTATCGGTGAATTTTTTATCCATAAGATTGGCTATCCTGACCACGTGTGGAATAAAAGATGCACCCGCTGAACTGTGAAGCCTCTCTAAATCATCCCCGACAAAAGCCCATCGATACCTAAACAAATCAAATTTTATTTCATTGAAAAATCAACACAATTCAGACATACATTTGAAACTGGGGTAAAGTCACAGCAGGCAACAACAACGCCAAATCTAGTAATTTTGCCGTTGCCAACTGTAGTCTCAACCAATGAGGGTGGCCCAAGGCGTGCAATCCATTGTTGCTATTCGTCGACCAACTTGCATCAAGACTTGATAACAATTTTATATGATAACTACAAAAATCCAAATACAATAAAAATTCTCAATCAGAATAAAACGTTAGTTAATAGGTACACAAAGGCATGCTTAAATTAATTACAATATTTTAATTACCTGTTGCCCGTCCTGCGATCGCAGCCAGCATGTTGCAAACAAACAAAATTTTGTTAGAATATACCAATAGCATTTCTAGAAAACTACTAAAGCCCTCATTAGTGACATAACTAATATACAAAATATTCCACCACTAGGTCCACCACGAATCGAAAAAAAATGCAACCTACTTGGTCAAACTACACTACTACATTTTGTTAGTCTGGATAATTCTACAAAATAGAAAAAATCGCAAAAAGACAGACCTTTGACGCATTTAGCTACAGTTTTTTTCGACTAATTCTACTGTAACAAACGAACATTTCTGACAAATAACTTGTACCCAAAACAGACATAATAAACTGTAAAATTCTCACCTAAACTCCTCGGTGTCAGTCAATAGTTCTTGCTCGATTTGAAGGAATACTTGCAACATTTCGCTTATAATAATAGGCCAAAGCGATGTAATGTGCATCGGACTCATTCTGATTAGAATTACACGAAAACAAAGAAAAACTTGTGCTTGTACACCTGGCACGTTCAGTCTCAGACTACTTGTTAATTGTTCTAAAAGAAAAATTTTCTTTTAGATATTTTAGACATTATTATTACCTTGTATATCCGGCATATATTTGGCATATTGGTCCATTTCACTACAAAATATCACGTACGCGAGACGTTTTAGTAATTGTGCCCTTTGTTCATACTCCTGTTCCCTGGACGAAAATATGCTCAAACTACCGCTCTGGGTCAAAGAAACTCGACCTAAAACATATTGATTCGTAAAACATAAAATTTTACATCAACTTACTCATCAAATCCCTGAAGGTGGTATTGTCGTGCGTCATCAAATTATCGACAATAATTTTCCAATATTTTATACAGTTATAATCCATTTGAAACAACGAATTATCGAGAAGCAACTCAAACACATCTTTCTTCCATGCTTTCCTTGTATATTGGTAACTACTAAGAGCTGCCAATAACTTTGAACAGGCATGAAAACTGGGCATATTTTTCATTGTATGTGTTTTGAGATACGGAACGATATTATACATGAGAGATGTTAAAATTGTCACCACTTTATCTTTTTCCGAAGAACCGAAACAGATATCTAGAATCGGAGCCAAAATTTCGGACAAAACCTACAAATCCAGATTAAAAAAATTAACATTAAGGAAAAAAATCAGACAAACCAATTGTGCTTGAACACTGTGACTATTTCCAACGACAAGATCAGAACTAGATCCTGTCAAACTATTGCTATCAGGTGTTAAATCTTCGTCTTGTTCTTTCACAGCTAAATTTCTTCTCAACCATGTTGTTTGCTCCAAACAAGAACCACATACTTGCGAGATACACTCAATCAACTAAAATATAAAACAGAAATTATTAGTAATAAATGATTAATTAGTTACTTTGGCTGTAACATCTTGCAAGTCTTTTTGATCTTTCCTCTCTTCAAGTGGACAACATTTTATCATTAATTCGTGCAATAAAGCAGCTAAAAGAAATTGTGCAGGAGGACTCAACGAACAACCTTCTCTGATTAGGGCAAGTAAAGAATTCCAAGCTTCTGTTAACTGAGTTGGTGAGGCATTACGCATATAACTAGAATAATTATCATTAATTGATAAGAGTGTTTGATTGTTGGTATTACCAATAAAACAATTCTAAAACGGAGACATCTAAACAAATGTCGGCACTGAGACCTTCAGTAGGAGGAGGGTTTTTTATCACAGCAGTTACAGTTTGTACTAAATTATCAAGTGGAATGACTCTTATAGCTGATATCAGGTAAACTAAATTATTCTGGCCGGCGTTGGGTTCGGGCAAAACCTAAAAAAAATCATAATAACCCATACTTAAGGCAAAATGGAGTAACTCACCGCTTTAATACTAGTAAAAAGGTTTCTCCTTTCGTACCAAGCGACCGCAATCGCAGCCAAAAAACTCGCTCCATGATTAACAGAAATAGGACTAAGAAACTCTAAGAGTTGTTGTTTGACAACTTTCGAACTCCCATATACCCCATTATTGTCATTTTCCAAATTAACTATAGTTTGCCACAATTTAGCAACACTTGAAATTATCCTCGGCATATGACTTAAAATCGTTTTTCTTGCATTCTGATAATAATCCGAATTCTGTTTCGATGTCGAATTATCTAATCCGACTGGAGCAAAAAATGCACTGACCAAATTATTGAAAATTTCACCCGGATTACTGATCGGTGTACTCGAATTGGCGGGAATATTCAACTGATTCACAGTTTGTGATGAATCCAGTAAACAATAATGACATAAAATCGTCAACGATTCAAGTTGAGTAACGGCATAATCCGAACAAATTTCACCGTGGATTTCTGACTGTGTATATTTACTTGCTAACTCCTCAATGTTGTTGCAAATCTGGTGAATTACACTAATTGTGATTTGTTTAATGTTTTCTCCAAAATACGGAAGACAACATGTAATCATATTTAACCATTTTTCGTGCAAATTTTTCATGTGTGTGTGCCGTAAAGCGCTCATTACCGCCGACAAAAATATATTTTGTTGAGGGATTAGGATTGTTGGGGTGTAGTTTAAATTTTCGCCAGTTGAAAACGTTACTGATTCTTGGGAAGAACTACTAACTGGTGGTGCAGATGAAAACACGTGGTACTCCAAAATTATCAACGAGTGGATCAATCTGGAACAAAAAAAAACACTCATTAACAATATTTTTTTTTAACAAAAATGTATTACTTACCTCAGAAGACGAGTTTGATAAGCTTCCACATGATCTCCTACTTTACGATTAGCATCATACAATTGAAAATTATTAAACAATAAAACTTCTTCAGCAAAAGTCATCTCTTCGTCAAAATTTCTCACCGAAGTCAACAAACAATGCAACACAACTTTTTGGAGCTTACATTTAATCAACATATCGCCAATATAACTAGCAAAACCTTTCGAATTTTCACTAACCATTGTAATCAATTTTTTAATAATCACATCCAAAATTTCCAAACTTTCTATTTGAATTTTAAAATTACTCTCCAAGTCGTCATTTGTGACATTTAAATCGTCTAAATGCGGATAAAACGTCCTCGCATAATTCAAACAAATCAAAATGACAACGTCCAAAAACATATATCCACGATAAAAATTCAAATACTCGGAATTTAATTTTCCGGAAAAACTATACCCCAAAACTGACTTTCGGTGTCTCGCGAGTAAATTCAAAACGTCATTATTTCTCAAATCTTTGATGCCACTCGTCGCCAAACACTTGATAAACAATTGAGGGTTGGACAAGATGCAATTTTTCAGAGTTTGAAGAGCATAAAGTATCTGATTCGAATCGAAAACTTCATAATATAGACAAATATGTGAATGAATTGGATATAAAACACAGTTTTTAGACGAATAAACTGTTATTTTCGACCTCAAATCAAGATCAGTCGGTCTAGTCGGTGTGTGATTGTTATTATCAATCAATTCGCACACTTTATCCAACACTTCATTTAAAATTTCAGTCACTACAGTGTTGTCACTTTTATTGAAAAACTCCTCAGCACTTGTACTGATTTCAAGCTCGGCGTTTAAATTATCCGAGTCAGAGATACAATATGACCAACTATGTACCAAAGAACTCTCCATTTCGTCACTCTTTCCGTTGCAACACTTCTCATCAAAACTCTGCGATTTGGGGATTTTCGTAACGTTGCCATTTATCAAAGTATCATCTTTAATACCATCAGAAATCGGTTCAATACTCTCAAGGAGTTTATTTGAAGAATTCGAAATTAAGTCCAGTTGGGTTTTACTCCGAATGAATGACTCGTATCCGGAATCCCTTTCCGGTTCCGGAGGCAACGATTTGAATAACGAATCCGGACTCTCTTCATTACTCGAACTTAAACTTTCCGTGGAAGACCTATTAACGTCGAGTTTTGAATACGAGCCGTTAAGCCCATCCGAATAAATCTCTTTCGAACTTAATGGGTTTATAATCACTTTCATGTTTCCTTTTGAACTTTTGTCCAATTTCGGTGTTGTCCGTACGTTTTTATAATCTTTGTTTTTTCTTGTTACTACATTTAAATCGTCGACGACACTCGTTGTCATATTGACTACAGTAGGTGAGAATTTTTTGCCTCCTTTCGAAAATGTAAACCATTTTCTTTTGGCAGGCTTTTGGTCTTGATCGCTGGTCAAGTGATACATAATGTTGCCGTTTTGGCTACTCACAGCGTAGATTTTTTTCGTTTGATATTCTTCGGTTTTTTGATTGTCTTGAATTGTAACTTCGCTTTGGGCATCTGAATCGTTGATGTTCACGTGACGAATAGACACTCTGGCAGTGTTGGAGGCCAATAGTTTTACTAGCATTGGATTAATGATTCGAGGAACATCACCATGAAGGAGACTGTGTGTTAGAAAAGATTCCGCAAGTAGTTGGATGTTTGGTTTTTCGATGTTTTGCAAGTTGTCGAGGACTTTCATCAGAGATCTTGAAATAAATAATTTCGATTAGACAAAACTAATTTGGTTTAATTCTTGGCAGCCCAAACAAATTACAAAAATAACAGTAAAACAATAACGAATCTAAAGACCGTTATATTTCTTATTTTTTGAAGAGTTTAAAGACTTACCTGTCAAAATTTCTTACATTTGTCATATTGGGTGAAACTTTGATGTTCAAGTCTCTCCCCAAATGCCACAAGAGAAAAAACCTCTTCATAAAATCCGTACAAATATTTTCATTCGTCAGATATTTGTTAATAACTTGCTCCACAAACGGTTTATTGTCAAAAGTGTTATGTATTTGATATAAAAGAGTTACACACAAGAGTAACTGTTTCTGGTTATTCAAAACCCCCAATAAATTCCACAAAATCTGAGACATTTCCTAAAAAAAACTATTTTAAACAAGAAATAAAACAATATCATCCTCCATACTTCTATAACAATAGTATTTTCCTCAATGAATAGCACATGTTCGCGCTCTAGAATCCCCGTGATGACAATATTCGTATTACAATCATCTTTTTTCATAAAATTTTGATTTTTTGCTAAACTGAAAATTTCCAAAAGCGTACTCATGGCTGTAATCTGTATCTCTCTCGACGACTCCTTACAACATGCCGCCACAATCAAAGCTTGCAGCCATTGTGGCATTACACGATCAAAATCACAACCAATCAAATTTGGAAACGCTGAAAACTCCAAAAGAACATTCGAGGCAACGTTCATCGCTGATTCGTAATCGCATGTTGCATTTTCCGATACTATATTCGTCGCTGTCAAAATTTCGTTTTTCGTTATTATATTACTAAAATCAACTGGACTAAACTCACTATCTTTTTGTAAACACTCTTCTAATAGTTTTATCAAGCGATTCGTTCTTTCATCTTTATCGCAGAGTAATTTTTCGTAAAAAGTGCTCATTTCCACATCGGGCAAGACTTTCGACGCAATGAATATCACATAGAACTTTTTGTATTCGTCTAAACAACTCAGAAAGTATTTGTTTTCAATTTTAGCAGTTTTGACTATTTTCGGTAGCTCTGAGAGGGGCTCCTCGACGGCGGTCTCCGATTCAAGCTCATTCTTGTTCAATTCGTACAGTTTCGAACTCGATTTTGATTTTTTATTTTTTGACTTTTTTTCGATTTTTGGACTAGTTTTGTCCTTTTTCTTCAACATTTGATTACTGTAGGATCGCTCTCGACTCGAATCATCTATAGTCAGTTCGTTTTTGTTCAGATTTTCGTTAATCTTCGAGTCTGATTTGCTTTTTTCAAGAGCGGTTCTCGGCTCCTCACTTAAAATCACAACTGAAGTCTCGATTGATTTTTCCGTTTCCGAGGCCTCTACATCAACTTCTTTGATTTGTGTCACTGTCACCGGTTGAATTTTCGTCAAGATTTTCGTACACAAAAGCAAACTATGCTCTATTTCATACTGATTCACAAGTTCGATATTCATTTTTAAAGTTGTAACAATTTTATTAAATAAATTCGGTAGAATATTTGATGTTGTCTCCGCATACGACTCAATTGGTATCACTTCCAATAAAAACTCAGTCAGAATACAAATTTCTAAAATGTGTGGAGGGCCAGCTCCGATTTCGTTAACTTGACACCTATCCCTCGTTTTATAATTCTTTATATTTTCCACTGCATTGGCGTACAATTTTTCAATGTATGACCAAATGTAATAATTCTGCAACGTGTTGAATATCAAATTTGCGTTTTTCACCAATTCTTGACATTTTTTCGTCACAAATTGTTTATTTAATACGGTTTCGTCCGTGTTTTTTAAACTTGTCAAATCACCATTAAAAGAAACACATCTAACGGTACTGTTCTTTTGTTTTTGTTGTTGTAAACAAGATAGGTATAACGTCCGAAAAACATCGTATAAAATGCTGTCTAAAATAACAGGTCCTATTTGCGGTTTATCGAATAAAGATGTTAAAAGTCTATAAGGTTTGATATCTAAGGGCACCTCAGTACTACTTTTACGTAAAATTATTCTAATAGCGTCGTTTAGTAAATCGTAAGCAATTGAACTATGTGATTCGGAGATTGTAGTATTTTCGTTTTCTACTTGATTAGATGTGTTTGCGTCACCTTCAACAAGCCACGAGTAAAGACGCCTGAAAAAAAAATTTAAACACAAAAATTATTAATAAAGCATCAAACTTTTTCACATTTCGTATTTACAATTATAATTTTAGCCTTCCAACATAAATCATGACTCAATTCATATCCGAAATGATGAGTTTTTAAGCACAGTGTTAAAATGTTTGACATTGAAGCATTATACTCCTATTTTTCATAAACAAATAAAAAGTTATTTTCAAACGTTATTGATGTTTTATTACACTCACAACCAGATGGGGTTGAAAATAAAAACTTACCTGTTTAGTGACATATCTCGTCTCAGTATCGTTGATAAAGCAGCAGTTACAAGTCGGACCATATCTGCATATAATAGTTGTTTATTATGCATAGGAAAACACACCATTAATAAATCTAGAGCCGATCTTTGTACCAAAACACTCGAATCTTGAACTGCGGCACACAAACCACAAACCTTAAAAAAACCTTATTAATAAAGCATAAAAAAAATCAAGTTACATATACCATAAGATCAATATCATGTCCCATCAGATATAACTGGTCATCCATTGGTAATTTCCTGCTATAATGGGTCAAAACGTAACTAATGGCTGGTAATCTCACCGGACTGTTGTTTGTAACACATTGCCATATGCAAGTGTAAAAATATTTCGAACCAACACCGTCGCAAATATTTTCTAATAAAGTATTAGTTCTGAAACGATACTGATTAATTATTTGAAAAATTTTTAATGTGAAAAAAGTACCTATCAAAATGATCGGAACCCGTCTCTAAACCTGGCAAAACGCCACTAAGAAAACCGCTAAGGGCCGGACGTAGTCGTTCTCGTAAAGGTACAAAGTGTGTTTCGTAAATTGTTAGCAAAGTTGGTCTAATATTCATTGCAGCGTGACCCAATAATGGAAACAATCCTATGAGAAAAGATTAAATAAATAAAAAATTAAATAAACAAAAAAACAAAGAAAAATTCAAAATGCAACACAATACACAATAGTACGAGTAATTTTAGTTCCTCATTTGTGTTAGAACGAGATAAATATCAAAGATAAACAAATGCAACTGCATATACTATGACGTTGAAAAAAAATTGTAATAGTAACAGCTTTGAACGAAAAAATTATTTAATAAAACAATGTACGTCATCCAATTAACACAACTATTGTATGTTAAATAATGAATTTAACTTCTATCGCGCTCTTATTTCGTTCGATTTGCTAACACTTAAATTGTTGCAAATTCTAACGGATTAATAAGGTCAACAACTAATACCTCTAAGTTATGTATGTATCACCCAATTACTTCCAAAACAGGCAAGCAATTAACTTTAATAAACCTTGATAATCAAGACTGTACATGAATTATAAACATTATTATTTGAGTTGCATTATTTCAATTTATTATGCATTAAAATTGAAAAATCATGTTTTTGTTAATTGTAACAGAGAAAACTGCTTTGGTTATTATATAATTACAAAGTTATTTGACAAAACGTCTCCATGATTATATTACTTTCATATTTGTTTTGATTAAATCGCACCTATAAAACTTCAAACAGTTCTACATAGATAATAATCGCCTACGCTACGTGGTACCAGCATTTTACAACACCATTTGATGAAAATTTATTGACTCAGATATTCAGTGAATAGCAGTGATTTCTATAATTTATTGCATAATTAACATTAAAATTAACTCAATAATGTGAAAAAATCAATCGTATAGAAAGAAAAAATAAAATTTTACATTAATATAACCAAAATAGCTTTCCAGCAAGTGTTTTATTTACTTTAAATTAAAACATGTGGGTGAAAATAAATACAGGTGTTGTTAATTAAATCTAAATATATTTTCGCAATCATGTGATTCAAATGACTTATTTTTCAACTGTAATAAATGTCCACTTTACTAACTCATTAAACCATTTGGTGTAAGTAATTACTCAACACCTAAAGTAATAAATATGAAACATACATTTCTGTTACTAAATAAAAATCGAAACACTTTTTTAATTATGCACATTTTCTCTTGAACTTGTAAATATTGAATAATTTCATAAGGTTAAAGATAACGCTAATGGATTTAAAAAGACTACAAAGTTAAAACTTTTATCTCGAAATGAAAATATTTGAATAGAAAATATTTTTTTAAGCTGTTAATTTTAGCAAAGTAAATAAATATAAATCACACGTTTTTACCGAAGCATTTTTGAGTGAAACAGTGTGATAACGTTGTTTTCCTTGTTATCGCAGTTTTAATAATCAATAATGAACGGGCTTACCAGCGCTATAAATAAACAGTTCTTGGGAAAGCCGATTTGTCCCCATGCATCTAAAAATGATATCGTATGTTTCTAACGCTTTAAGATGGACTCCAGAAGGCAATGCTGGATGCATACATTGTGCAAGGCGTTTGCTTATCTTAATTCTTCTAGGAATTACTGGGAATTTCATATAAGTTGATAACACCTAAAACAAATCAATTTTCAGTATCAGAAAACAAATCCCTCGTCTACCTTATTTAGTTTTCCTAGAGCTGATATAAGATCAGCCCATTCAGATGTGTATTCAAAATTCTTCAAAGCCTTATCTATGGCAGCCACATACATCCGATATTTGGCATCTTTCATTAACTCGTACTCCTCCATGGCCGTACTCGTCATTTTGTTTAATTATAATAAGAAACACAATATTTTTTCACCCAGAAAATTTCTTATTCACACTTGGTTATTAATAATTGACATTTGACATTTATAAAACTAGACTATTGTTATTATTATTCCGTCGATGATTTTAAATGATTCCACACCAATTTAAATTATTTACAAGTTCAGGCTGTGTTAAAATCAATTTTCTTCAAATAAAATAATTGCTCTTGCGTAAAAAGAGGTTATGTTCAAAGTTGCTTCAACACACCACTATTATCTTTTTGTCTCGACATTAAACTAATAGTTTGAAAAACAACTAGCACCACTGTTACGTCCCACTAGTTCTAGTTTATTCACAAAAAAAATTTCAATCAACAATACAATCATCTTTATTGTGATAAAATGACATTTCGTCATCATTTTACACAATACGTACGCATGCGCACGATCATTGTCAATCAAAAAACAGTGATTCGCAAACTGTTTGACAACTCCACAATTTAAAATCCTAGTTTTAAACATTGAAATGTTACATTAGCACCTCAAGTTGTGTGTCAATAAATGGCTTTTCATTTGCCTAAAAGGATTTACAATTTTCACAAATTTAATTTATTATAAACGAGTGAAATTGTAACATTTTGGGAGCACCTCGTCAAATGTCATGCCTGAAACGTCATCAACTTCTTGTCAAAATTGTCGAAAGTGTGGTTGACAGTAAACATTTTTAATAACAAAATAGAGTATTAACTGGGTGTAACGAGACTTCCACGATGGTTTTAGCAGACTTAGGTCGTAAAATAACAACTGCTTTGCAGTCGTTAAGCAAGGCAACTATAATAAACGAAGAGGTAAAATCTACCAGATGGTGTTTAGGTTAGGAGAGCCCCAAATGTTTTGCAGGTTCTTAATGGCATGCTCAAGGAAATATGTGCGGCTCTACTTGAAGCTGATGTAAACATACGCCTCGTAAAGAAACTACGGGAAAATGTGAGGGCGGTTATTGATTTTGATGAAATGGCAGGAGGGTTGAATAAGAGGAGAATGATCCAAAGTGCCGTTTTTAAGGAACTTGTTAAAGTAGGCAAAGACACTATTTTTGTTGTTTTGTTATAAAGGATGGGTTGTAGCTTGTTGATCCCGGGGTTAAGCCGTACCAACCTGTTAAAGGGAAACATAATGTTATAATGTTTGTGGGTCTTCAAGGGTCGGGCAAAACTACAACTTGTACAAAGCTAGCATATCATTATCAGAAGAAAAATTGGAAATCGTGTTTGGTGTGTGCCGACACGTTCAGGGCTGGTGCCTATGATCAGGTTAAACAAAATTGTACAAAAGCAAGAATCCCCTTCTATGGAAGGTAATTTTTGACATTTTTGAATTTCATATTCAAAATTAATTTTAGTTACACTGAGGTGGATCCAGTGGTGATAGCCCAAGACGGCGTTGACATGTTCAAGAAGGAGGGTTTCGAGATTATTATAGTAGATACTAGTGGAAGGCATAAACAAGAGGAGTCATTATTTGAAGAGATGTTGGCGGTTTCAAACGCGATTGTTTGTTGAATCCATTTTAAATGTAGTATAATTTTTATGTTGATTTCAGCAACCTGATAATATTATTTTTGTGATGGACGCCACCATAGGTCAAGCTTGTGAAGCTCAAGCGAAAGCTTTTAAAGAAAAAGTCGATGTAGGATCTGTAATTATCACAAAATTGGATGGTCATGCTAAAGGTGGTGGGGCTCTTAGTGCGTAAGTCGGGTATTTTAGTTTTGAAAAACAAAATTGAAATAAAATTAATCAACCAGAGTGGCGGCTACCAACAGTCCTATTATCTACATTGGTACAGGAGAACATATTGATGATTTAGAACCGTTCAAGACTAAACCTTTTGTCAGTAAATTGTTAGGAATGGGCGATATTGAGGGACTCATAGATAAAGTAAACGAATTGAAACTAGAAGATAATGAAGAATTATTAGAGAAAATCAAACATGGACAATTCACACTCAGGGACATGTATGAGCAGTTTCAGAACATAATGAAAATGGGCCCCTTCTCACAAATTATGGTACATGATAATTTTGTTGAAAAAATGGTTTTTTATTGTTTTTAAACAGGGAATGATTCCCGGATTTAGTCAAGACTTTATGTCGAAAGGCAGTGAACAGGAGTCGATGTCGCGTCTAAAACGATTGATGACGATCATGGACAGTATGAACGACGATGAGTTGGACAGCAGAGACGGTGCTAAAATTTTTTCCAAACAGAACGGCCGTGTTGTGAGAGTGGCACAAGGCTCGGGTGTTACGGAACGAGAAGTTAAAGAATTGATCACTCAGTATACGAAATTCGCAGCTGTTGTGAAGAAAATGGGCGGTATTAAGGGACTTTTCAAAGGAGGCGATATGGCTAAAAACGTCAATCCAGCACAAATGGCAAAACTCAATCAACAGATGGCTAAAATGATGGATCCTAGAGTTTTACACCAAATGGGTGGAATGCCAGGCTTGCAGAATATGATGAGGCAATTACAAGCTGGTGCTGGTGGAGGATTAGGCAATTTAAGTAATTTGATGGGTGGTTTTGGTGGAAAATAATTTTAGGAAATTGTAATATAAAATATTTGATTTGTTTTGCCACTTTTTGTGAAGTTTTTATAAAAATAAATTTATCTCTGATCTAAGGCTTTTTGTGATGTGGCTGAGAGAATATAATATACACCATATTTATTTTTGAAATAAATATAATTAATGATAGAAGCAACCATTTCTACAATTTTATTCCAGATAAGCTTAATTATTTATATTAAATATATTAAAATTTATTTGTATTATGATAAAATCTCACAAGTAATCAACTGGCGGAAATGCTTAGTACCATTAAGATAAACAGCTCTTCTATGAAGTAAAGAAAACAAGTGTTCAATAAAATTTTTACTTGAAATAAACGGACCATTTCAAGACAAAATTTCAAGAATCTAGGCACTAGTTCAAAGGCTAAAATAATTTACATAACTGGAATTGAACTGCTCTTAAAACTACTTAAAGCAGAAATGCGTAATATATTACTTTATTCTTACATAATTTCATATTTGAAAACTTTATGTTTAGAACACTTTTCTCGCAAGTTTTAATTCCTAATTTTATTACATACAAACTCACAACGCTAAAAATTGGTCATTTGAACTGATAAAAGTACATTGGAATTTTTACACAATTAAAATTATAGATCAAATAAAATATCAAAAAAAAAATTACTGGTAATATAATACCTGCGGAAACTTAAAAAATGTCAATTTAAGTATCAATATAATACCTAATTACTACTAGAAAAGAATGCTCAATGAGTACTCCTTTCTTCAGACATGAACTGATCTAAAACGTTTTGCATGGATTGACGCATTTCTTCTTCACTCCTACCTCCAGGCGATGTCAAAGTTTGGGAGACGGTCCTGATGGTTCGAGTGATTCTAGAAATATAAATAAAATGATCATTGTGACATTGAAATAGAAAAAAATTAATTAAACAAGAAAAAAAACTCACTTTGCTCCAGTTACTGGATCAATTTCTTCTGTTACTGTTTCGCTGAATTGAGGTTGATCTTGCTGGTATAAATCCTCTATGACAAGTGATAATAGAAATAAATCAACAATTCAAGGTAATGAGAATACAACTGTACGCAATTTATGGATTACGAAGAAAATATAATTATTTTTAAAACAGTATTTTATTAAACTGAAATGTTAATAAAACAAACCTTAACCCATAAATTGTTATGTAAAATTATCGTATTATATGTTATAAATATCAGAAAAAAATATTGTCATGCTGAGTCTGTACGAAAAGAACTAAAACAGGGTAAAAGCAGAGTTTATAAAGCTTCAAAGCTGCAAGCAATCATAGGAGTCGACAATTAATAAGCGATGAAACTTTTCAGAATAAGCAGTTCTTTGCATACAGATAATTGAAATGTTAAATGCAAGCAAGTCTGTAATAAGTGTCAGATAATAACAATCATGCCTCATTTTAATACGTATCGATCGAAACAAATTTTGTATAGAAGATTTTTGGAAACTTACCTATAAAACGCGCGTTTGTAACTGAAAAATTCGAATCGAATTTATTATTTCCGACAATTTGAATGAATCGCGACACCACTTTGTAAGTATGTAATGAATATGAATAAGTGTAAACTGCAGTGTACCTATCGATGGTAGAAAAAAAATGCAATTTTTGCATACCGTGAGTCAGTCAGTACTGTGCGAGCAGTGCCAACACGATCATGCTGGTTGCCAATGCAACAACCGACCACACAAGAGGGGAAAGAACATGCCAGGTCTCTAAGGAATTTTTTGATGCTAGGTAATAACACAAAGTTAATCAAGTTGCATTATTATTGAAACCATCGAAATTAACATTAAACAAACGAGGCTTCAACACTGATTTTTCAAAGTAAGTTATTGGTTTAGGTGTTAGAAGTTGTAATGTTAATTTTAATGGTTAGACAGTAAACAAAAGACAATTATTATTATTGTAAAGAAGTTATGCTAATCATGCAACAAGTGCAATACATCGATTATTTGAACACATGTGCTTTTTGGGCGACATTGCATTAATTAACATATATTGTTAATAAAATGATAAAACAATAAATAATTTTAATCATGCGTCCGAATAAAATTAGGACAAAATACCTTGTTTAAAAACAACGATTCTAAAGTTTATAAAATCTGTTCAGTAACAATAAAAAAAAATAAGCAACAAGCCTAAATTCTATCCTAGAAAGGCCTAGAAACAGTAACAAACTTTTGAGAAAAGACCAATAACATACCTGTTTCACTCTCACTCAATTCAGCACCTTCTTCATGCAACGCCACGTCCGATCCACTCGAACTCCCCACAGTCTTCTTTAAAATCCCTTTCAAAGGCGGACTCCTCGGACTATCGTCATCCGAATCCGAATCAAGTGTACTACTCTTTGTCGAAATTTTCGAACCGGGCGACACCACAGTCGTCTCGACGAATGTTGTTTCTGTTTTCAAAATCGGGATTTTACTTTTAGGCGATATTTCGTATCGTTCAGTGATTTCAGTCGGTGACAGTGTTTCCGTATGAAGAACCGGAATCTTACTCTTTATTTTTTCAGTGATTGGTTCTGTAGTGATACGAGTTGGTGTTGTTTTCACTATAGGATGATCGCTCGTCACGTTCACTAGTTTCTCAGTGATATTGTCATCACTGTCGTCCCAATTCACCTCTTGTGCCAACTTGACGAATTCTTTAAGAGGGTCTTTCGAGTGTTTTTTTATCGTTTTTACTTTGCCACCTTTAATCGGGATTTTACTCAACAAGTCGTCGTTGGTGGTTGGCGACACTGATTCGCAACCATTTAACGAAAACAACAAGTCAATATCTTTTTCTTTTTCGATTTGTCGTGGTTTTGCTATAGGTATTGCACTAGATTTATTCGATTCTTCAAAGAACGTGACAAATTTATTTGATTCATCCTTGATCGGTGTTGGGGGACCACTAATTTCGTTTTCGAGGAATTTGAAAGCTTCTTGGGCGTTTGATATGGAATCATCTTTAAGACTTTCCAAATTATCTAAAGAATCGTCTAATATATTGTCGCTTTTTTCAGTAAGTTCGTTAACTACACATTCAGCCTTTTTGATTACATTATCGACTTCGCTTTGTACAACATTTTTCAGGTCGTCTGTTTTCTTCTGATTTTTCAGATTAATACTATCAAGATCGATTTTACGTGAAATGTGATCGTCTTTCCGACTCGGAATGATTATATCGTCCTCTGGTAAGAAATCGTTACGTTCCTGATGCAAAAAAGTCAAAGTATCACTGACATTCTTTTTAAGAACTGCAATTGGATCAACATAAACATCGTCGATGACTTGATTCGTTGTTTTCAAAGGTGTTGAAGTTATGATTTCTGAAGTGGTGGTTCCTTTCGAAATAATTAAAAATACAAATCTACTAGAAACTGAAAGGCTATTTTGCTAGAGTTATAAAATGTGAATGCAAATTAAACAAAAGTGTGCTAAAAGTCTAAAGCTAAGTACCCCGCCACAAGTGCAGAATGAAATAAGCGAAATATTAAAATGGGCATGACTACTGTGGTTATTGTGACACGATATACAACACTAGACAACTACACTTATTTGATATACCATCAAAGTGGCTTTTGACTTTGAAATTAATTGTTACCAATTTAATTTCAATGTTCCAGGCCACTTTAATTACTTTCGCATAAAAATATCGTTAGCGAACATAATTTTAAAAAGCGTTTTTAAGTAATTTACCTTTGACCGGATGTATTTGATTTGTGAAGTTGGCTTCTTTATCGAAATGGAATTCGGCGGGACTGGGAGGAGGTGTGTTGGCATTTGTATCGACATTTAATTTGGGATGAGTGGTTTGGAGATTCGTTAGTTGTTGAGTTATTTCTTCGAGCACTTCATCGTGATTGGCATTGGGAGTAGTGGCTCTGTTATCTAATTGATTCTCATCCTTGTGATCTTTCTTCATCGAAAGATGGTCACTGGTTGTGTCGGTGACGTCTTTGTCGGTAGAATTCTGATTGTGGAAATCATCTATAAAACAAGACAAAAGATGTAGAAGTTACATGAAAAAATACTATTTTTCAGTTCATGGTTATTATTGAAAGTCCTTACTGCTTCTGTCGCTTTTGTCCAACTCTTCCTGGCTTGCCTTGCTGAGGCTGAAGTTGCGTTTCAAAGAAGTGTCCCTTGAAGAACCCAATTCGTCTTTCAGCGTATCAAATCCGGACTGATCTAGACGTACTTTAGCCAAAGCCTTCTCCATATCATCAGTGACGAGTTCAACATTACAAATACATTTAGAAACAATATCCGGTCGCCCGATTTTCTTCAAAGCCAATTCAAGTTTGTTTCCTGTAGCTTTGTTTGCTTTTTGTCTTAACCACAACCGAAACATTATCATCGCTTGTTGAGGATTATTATTCGGATATTCTTCTTTTATTAATGCAATATCAGTGGGAGTTATATCAAGTTCGGCTGCAAGCTTTACCCAATCTTCATCCAATAAGTTACAAATGTCTGAGATTCGGAAGTCGGCACGATGGATCGTATCAGGTTTACCTAAGAAAATGTTATTATTTTATTAAGACAAAAATTTGTCTTACTTATGCCTCCGTGATGCAAGAAGCTATTATCAACATCAAGTGAGAGCAAGTCCGACTGCGAATCCCGATCCGGGAGTATTTCTTTGGGTAAAACGAGGTTGAGAGTACACAGTGGCGTTTGATTGGGCTCCCCTTTCGCCACTTTTGAATCACTCATGAACACAATACGTCCGACTGGTTCTTCATCCTAATTAAAATAAAACTTAGAAATATAAATTACAATGAAAACATTCATTTTACCGGATCTCGTAGTCGCATAGTAAAAGCAGATCGATTCTCTCTGAACGCTTTAAACCCAAGTCTCGGCTGTTCACCGGATTGCAAAACCGGCACCAAATTACCGGCAAATTCCATAAAAATATCCTTATTTTCGAGAACTTCAATGTCTCGACTTTTTGCAATTTCAACGAAATGCTCCTGATGTTCGAGGGTTTTGTCCTCTTTGTCGTCGGTCATGCAGAAGACGCGAATTCTAGATTCGAAAAGACTCACGCGTTTGGCGAAAACGACAAATTTTGCCATGAATGGAACATGGGCAGCCTATAATAACTTGATAAGTTTGAATATTTTTTATAATTTTTTTTCATCACCTGGTTGTATAAATCAGTTGCCATTCTTGCAGCATCTGATACGTTTCTACAATCCATCAACCAAAAACGTGCAGACACTGTTGTTGTAAAAGATACACAATCTTTGACAAATGTGAGAGGTGTAGAGCCGGTGACATCTTCCCAAACTGCCTTATTTTGGCCTCCTGTGTCATAAATTTTTAAATAACTACTGCCATTTAAAAACAAGATAAGATGCTAAATATTGCAAAAGAAATTTATTTAGAGTGAACGAGAAAAATACAAGAAAATTGTAAATATTTCACTTAAAAATTATTATTGTGTAACATTTGTTTCAAAATGCTGCGTCCATTGATAAAAACTTTTTTTTTAGTAAATTATTGATAAATTATTGATCTATATCAGCATTTTGTAACAGATAATATTAATCTCTTAAATTAGATGAAATGGTGAAAACAACATTTAAGAAAAAGCTGAATAAAAATATTGGAACTAAATTTACCTGATTTAGTTCCTTTAGAAGCAGGAATGTCAAAATAATAGTTTGCAACAATAAGGACACAACACTGACACATTAATATATGTATATACTTTGATACATGCTTTTACACAACTTTTTTTGTATAAAATATGTTGTGAGTATAATAGCACCACATGGATCACAAGACTTACCCAATAATCTAAACTAAGGTGAAAACTACATTGAAAGAAGTGGGAACTGATTCAAGAGATAATAAGAACCTCCCAATTTTTATTTAAGTAATCAACCAGCTTTTAAGTTTGGGTTGTGCTTATTATTTGTTCAATTGTTAGTAATCATTTATTATAAAGAAATTTCTCCTTCTGAAGCACTAATTTTTGAACAATACTTTACATAAAGTTTTGAATAATCACAAAAATTTCTTTATAAAATCGTTTGGTGCATTTCAAGAAAACATGAATGAGATGTGATGACGTGAAAAGACCGATCTAAAACTCCACATACCTGTAATAGAACACAATAAGCGTAACGTTGGTGCTGATCCAGAATACTGATTTATCATTCCCTGAGAGTGTGCTCTTGGTGCCGGCATACTCAATGTGATGGCTTTGTGGAATTTGCGCCTTCTTGGTTCCACTGTAACAATTGGTGACACCGCAACACCGTGACCTAACAGTTTAGACACAAACTCAGGCTCAATTGCTTGTGCCTGAATTAAAAAAGAAAAATCATTAAAACAGCTCGTTAATTAAAAAAACTTACTTGAAGCCCAACTCGGATTTTTTTCGTAAGAGCGTTTGGTGGGAAGACAGCTTGAACAAGTGGAACAGCACTGCTTGATACAGTGCCACCATCTGGACCAATAGCATGAATTTCTTGTCTAATTCTGGATACGACAGCAAAATAATGCGGAAAATCATTGGTCAAGATTCGTGTAATTCGGTTCGTGTGAAGATCTTCGATTTGGCTCAATTCTACAAGAGTTAAAAATAAAAAATTGCTCAAAGTTTGAAAATTTGTACCTTCTCCGTCAAAACTGTGATTGAGTACGTCCTGAATAGCCTCTTCGTTGGCCTCTAAAGTATGCTCTTTCCAAGTCTCCCCGTTATCAGAGCGCAAAACAACAATTTCGCGTTGTTTTCCTCTCAAAGACGCAAAGTGTGGTACTTCGATAATGACTGGTCTAAAATGCTCGATTTTAAAAAAATCAGCAGCGATTTTTTATTAAACATACCCCAAAAATTTGGCACTTACAGGTCCCAGTTCCAAAAGTCTACTGGCTAAAGCCTCACCCTCCATCAAAGGCGGAGGATTGGGAGTCTTTTGAGGCCGAATATAACGACAAGTGATTCTTGTAGGACTCGAAGCACAACGAGGAGGGACAATAACTCGAACGCCTGAATGTCTACATCCTCTCATTGCACCTCCTCGTGCATCAACCAAGAAAGACACCAAGAAGCTGCGAATGGACAATTATAGTGTTAATTCAAGTTTTTTTTGTACCAGAGCAAATCACCGAAAATTGATCAAAAATTTTGAAATTGCATTCGCTGTTATTATTACAAAAACCATTAAGTAATCCCAAAAACATGCCTGATAAATCGTAAAGTGCAAATAATACTCGAATTTTGACTCTTCTGCAACTGTTAGAGATGGAAATTATCTATGCTACATACAGGTGAAGCACATAAATATGTACACTGTACAAATAACTTACTTTTTCCAACTAGGTACACTGAAGACATAAACATCACAACAAACAGTTAGTTTAGTTTTCCTAGAGATATTTTATTGAGAGGTACAGGTTATATGCAGAGCATTTGATTCTCAATAAAATATTAGTAGCCAAAGCCCGCCCAACATCAAACTATTTACAAAATTATTGCTAAAAATCCCTCCAATGTGATCAATGTTAAGAAAATCTCCCATTTAAAATTGCTAAATATATTAGAAAAAATAAAAAACGCGCACACATGTTAGTGTGGTGCTGCATTCAGTGCATTAATTTGGTACTGGTAGTACCATTAAAAAGGTACCTTTCTCTGCATAGACCCGATCCTTGACTTTTGGGACCCAGAAGATGCAATGAGTATTCTAGATTGGACCACTCTTGTCTGCATAAGCTTTAAATACATACACACTAACTACTAGGTCATAGCATTCTATTGGGATAATCAACCGACAGATATCAAGACAGTTTGTGGACGGAAAGAGGCATTCAAAGTGAAAAAAACACATAAATGAAGACACTTTGTATACCGCTTCATCAAAGATAAACCTACTCTAAGGAAAGAACAAAAATACACAGCAAACATTTAATATTAAAAATTTGGCGACCTTCCTTTAGTTTATATTCAAGTACTTTTTTTTGCAACAAAAGTAATTTCTCCTAATCTTGAATTTTGAACAAATAAAATCAAACTGTCTTGATCCAAAAACACCATCTTCTTGAATTGAGTTATTAAGCTCTCAATTAAATTTTAGCACACTTCTTATTTAATAAGCACACAGTATTAAAATCATTAAAATGGTTCAAAACAGCTTTTCAAAAAATACTGTTAGTAAAACTTTACACTTACCCAACTGTGATTGGTTGTCGGTTTATATCCACATTGTCAGGAGCTGAATATGTATTGCTAGTGTAATATTCTTTCACATGGGTAGGATTTATTATAAGTTCATTGCTTATATGTGACGGAGCTGTAGAAAAAATTGTATGTTTAAAACAGTTTTTTCTTCCTATTTTTTATTTTTTACCCATTGAGTTTCTATATTCACTTTTTTCGTCGCGCGTTACGTCCATACGCATCGAGTCGTCTCCCAGAGATTTCATATCATCCACTGTCATATATTTGTACTGTTGTTGATCACCAAGTATTGGGTCATCACCTAAACAGGAGATAAATGGTGTCATTTCGTGCATTCTCGACCGGCTCTATCTGTACATTTTACTATATGAAAATAACATACCATAACAAGTCTCCTTGAAAGTCAAGATAAGTTTCCTTTATTATATTTTATCTAACAAAAATCCTTTTAGATGGTAAGGTAATAAAAATTCACTACTTTGATATATCAAAAATTAATTACGAAGTAAATGAGATAAAACAAAAATGTTAATAGAGATAATATTACTTTTTCTTGTCAAAAATGTATTATGGGTAGGGGTTAAAAGTTCATGTAATGTGATCTAATCTTTAATGATGTAATAATTGAATAATAAGCTCCGCAGCAGTCAGAATGTAAAAAGTTAAAAAAAAAGTGATTTATCTGACTAACAACAAGTAGTTGTATGAAAATTTGATTAGATAAATCTAGTTGTAAGTGGGCCTTCACTACTTGGTATTTTAACAGGGCTTTTAGAAAAGATATGTGTAGAAAGAGTGGTTTATAAAAAAAATAAAACTAATAAATTTCATAAAAATAAGACGAAATTTTCTGTCTTAACACAAGAAAAGCAACAACGCAATGATACAAACTAGACAATGACAAATGTAAAGATAAGTCATAAGCTAAAAGAAGCTACAATATGTGTTAGATAGATGAAACTTACGTGTATAGGTCATGTGTCCTTGGTAGAAGGGTAGATAGACGTGCTGAGCATGCGTTGGTCGACCGTAAGCCACGGGCGGTTCGTCCACTCCGCCTGCATGCAACAACCACCACCACCCTTAGCGCATTCACGCTCTTTTTTTTCATAACTAACCCCTTTATTCACATGACCCTCAATTAACCCACCCGAAAATTGCTGAGTTTAGTAGCAAATGATCGTTAATTCTACTTGAGCAAAATAACAACAACAATCAAAAGGTAATGCAAAAGTATCGGAAACTTTTCAATTTCGATAAATATGTGCACGGAGATAATATTTGTGTTTCGTTGATAAACTTTTGCAAAACCAAATTGGCAATAAATACAGTTATTTCCGTTATTTTTTCCAAACTAAGTGCCCTAATCGGTGTATATTTATAAAAGCCCATAAAAACAAAATGCGTTTATTTACAAACCTCCTTCGTCCTCGGAGTCCGACATAAACGTTTCCTGCATGGCTTCAGGCGCCATCACTTTGTATTTTTCTTCAATATTTACAGTCGTAGTAGTCGTAATATTGGTTTCTGTCACAACTTTGAGTTCCTCAACCACACTAATGTAACCCAATTTATTTGCAATACCCAACGCAGTTTGTCCATTCTACCAAAAAAATAATAAAATCACGATTTTTTTTTCTTTTCTCATACCTGTGTTACTGCATTTGGATTGGCTTTATTTTTCAATAACAAACTAATAACCAAGACGTGGCCTTGTTGGGCGGCTTGATGCAAAGGTGTGTAACCCGCATTGGTGACCGGATTCACTTCAGCACCTTGTTCTATAAGTAATCGCACCATATTTACATGGCCATGGTGGCAAGCGACATGAAGTGGTGTGTATCCTGCTTTTGTTTGGACATCTTTTTGTGCGCCTGCTCTTAGTAATAGTTGAGCCACTGACACTCGGTCCTCTTGAGCACAAAGATGTAGAGGAGTTAAGCCATTTTTGGCTGCATGGTTCGGATCAGCTTGATGTTCCATTAGTAACGAAGACATGTCCGAATGGCCTTCCTGTGCACTAAGATGCAACGGTGTAAAACCGGCTTTCGATTCAGCGTCTGCTTGAGCACCATATTCTAGCAAAGTTGTGGCAATATCCATCTGATCAAAGTCAAATTAATAAAGGGAAAAAGTGCACGAGTTAAATACCTGATTTTTTCTCGCAGCAATATGCAACGGCGTATGTCCATTTTTAGCAACAGCATGTGGAGAAGCACCTTTATCTAGTAACAACAAAGCGACAGGTTGATGGTCATAATGAGCGGCTACATGAAGAGGTGTAACACCGTTTTTTCCTTGCGCATCGGCTGGAGCGTCCCTTTGTAATAATAATCTAGCCACATTCAAGTGGCCGTATTTAGCTGCTAAATGTAAAGGAGTGAAACCTTTTTTTGTTGTTGCTGTTAAATCAGCACCATGATCGAGCAAAACCGAAGCGACCTATGTCAAAATCATTATTATTGTTATGTGTGTGATTAATTAAATTTCAAGTACTTCTTCTTGGCCTTCTTTGGCGGCGATATGCAATGGTGTGTAAAGATCTTTTGTTGTAGCATGAGGTTGAGCACCGTGTTGTAAGAGTAACATTACAATGTCGACGTTTCCAAGCCGGGAAGCAACATGGAGAGGTGTTTGTTCTTCTCGGGCTTTAGCGTCTACAGCGGCACCGTTTCGTAAAAGGATTCGAATTATGTCGGTCTATAATAATAAAAAAAGTCATCATTTTTAAAACAACAACATATCACGTGTTCTTGCACGTTTGACTAGACGAGAATTCTGATAATATCAAGCAATTCTCGGAATTTAATCTGAAGCCCCGTGTTAAACGCATTGTTATGTAATAATTTCCGTCACCTGATTAGCTCTCGCAGCTAAATGCAGTGGAGTTTCGCCTCGCACCGTCGGAATGTCGGGACTAGCATCGTGTTGGAGTAAATAAATAACAATATTCATACAACCCATGAAGCTGGCGACGTGAAGAGGTGTCAAACCGCTTTCGGTCGTAGCACCAATGCCTAATAATCAAAGTAACGCAAGACTCGAAAAAGTTATAAAAAATAAACCTACTTGCACCATGCTTGAGTAAAAGTTCGACCATTTTTATCCTGTTTTTCTTACAGGCGATGTGTAAGGGAGTGAAACCGTTTAAAGCTCTAGCATTAGGGTCAGCACCACGATCTAAGAGTAATTTAGCGACCCGGACGTGACCACAATGGGCTGCTACATGAAGGGCTGTGAGGTAATCGACTGTGACTTCATCAACAGGAGCACCGTGGTAGAGTAGAATACGAGCTGCGTCCACGTGTTCGCCCTGAGCTGCCATGTGAAGAGGGGCTAATCCGTTCTAAACAATAAACCAAGCATCAAAAACTAAATATTCATCTCAAAAATGTCTATATTTCGAGATTTGAAAAGAGTAAAACAATGAAAAACTGACAATTCCCACATAAAGGGCCTAACTCTATTATTTAAAACTACAACGGAAGAAAGCACTGCATCACTAGATTTTATCAAATTTTCGTAATTATAATATGAAACGAGGTGTAATTTAAACAGAAGTGTAAGCAGCTTATATTATATAAAAAAATAAGAATTTTAAGCTTTCTGTACCAAAAATATAGCTCCGAAGCTACATTGTAGGTTTTTTACACTTGTATTCCGTAACCACGTTTCTTTTAAATTATTTTGAAAACAATAAATTACGTATCTACTATAAATAAAATAGGCTTTAGTTAAAAAAAATCGCTTTTTTTGTGTTGCCAAGTTTGGTGGAATTTCACCAAATCGAGTGATTTTCGTGATTTGGTACAAACTTTTGTAAAAAATTCTAATATCTGGTGATTTTTGTGAAAGTGAAAAAAAAAAGTTTTGCCAGTATTTTCCATGTTTTCAAATCAGAAACTTGATTATTTCGTCAAAAAAATCGAAAAATAGTTTTGTTCGTTTTTTTACAAGGTTTTACTAATCAGGATCGAAAATGACAATTTATTTTTGTCTTTTTCGAATGCTTTTTCAGCTAGGAACAATTATTTCGAAAATTTCGTTAAAAAAATTCGACCAAAAACGGCGTCATTTTTTCCCTTTTCAAGTGTTTACCTAAGCAAGTTTTTGAGATAAAAACAAAGCAAATTCTAAAAATTTTATTGAAGCAGGCAAAAAAAATACAAAATTAAATC